CTAGCTAGGGGCTCTGGGGGCTCTGGGGGCTCCGGGGGTCCGTGCTGAGGCTCTCCCCCAGGCTGCACATCGGCAAGGGCGTGCAGCTGGAGCGGCGAGGCGAGGGCGACGTGTGGATGCGCTGCCGCAGCGAGCACGCCGTGTTCGTGCAGAGCTTCTACCTGGACAGGGAGGCGGGCAGAGCCCCCGGCGACGCCGTGCACAAGGTGTACCCCGGAGCACACATCAAGGTCGGGGCTCCCCGGGGGTCCCCAGGGCTCCCCGGGGGTCCCCAGGGGTTCCCAGGGGGTCCCCAGAACCTGGAGGGGGCGGGGGTGGGTTCTGTGCGCGGATTTTCGGAGGTTCTGGCCGGCGTGGCAGGACCCCAGGGATGGAAGGAGCCCCCAAAGGGGATCCCCCCCACCCCGCTCAGGGGTTCCCCCCCGTGTCCCCCCAGGTGTTTGACCTGCGGCAGTGCCACCGGCAGATGCAGCAGCAGGCGGCCACCGCCCAGGCCGCGGCCACCGCCCAGGCCGCCGCGGTGGCCGGCAGCATCCCCGGGCCCGGCTCGGTGGGCGGCATCGCCCCGGCCATCGGTGAGTGACCGCAGCGGCGACAGCACGCCGCGGGGCTGTCCCACCCCCCCCGTGCTGACGGTGTCACCCCCTCCCCAGGGCTGTCGGTGGCCGCGGGGCTCGGCGTGGACGACCTGCGGCGCCTGTGCCTCGTTAGGCTGAGCTTCGTTAAGGGCTGGGGGCCCGACTACCCCCGGGCCAGCATCACCTGCACGCCCTGCTGGATCGAGGTGCACCTGCACCGCGCCCTGCAGCTGCTGGACCACGTCCTGCACGCCCTGCCCGACGCCCACGCCTGACTCCTGGAAGGGGCAGCCAAAAAAAAAACACAAAAAAACGGCAAAAAAAAAAAAAAAAGGCCAAAAATGTGTTGGTTTAACGGTTATTTAATGGATTGGGTCAGTGCTTGTGGCCTGGGTGTAGTGCGGCCCTCGGTGCTGATTTCCACCTCCTGCTTTAACTTTTGTATGAAAATAAACCAAAAGAAAAGATTTTTAAAAGCCGAAACAACAAGGTGGAAGGACCAACACCACGTTGTTTAAACCGTTATTTAATGGATGGGGTTGGAATCTGTGGCCTGTGACGGATGCTCAGCAGTGCAGTTGTGCCGCCAGATGCGCCGCCAGATGCGTTTCCAGATGTGCATCCAGCTGTGCGCAAGTCCCTTGGGACTACATTTCCCACCAGCCCCCGCGGCGCGCACCGGAAGCGGCCGCTCCCCCTCCCCGCGGACTCGGTTTCCCAGCAGCCCCTGCGGCGCCCGTGGCCAAGATGGCGGCGGGGAGCGGCCCCGGGGCGCGGGAGCTTTTTGCTGAGGGGCTCCTGCAGTTCCTGCGGCCCGCCGTGCGACAGCTCGACCGCCACGTCCACAGCGTCAGGTCCGGGCACGGAGAGCGGCCGCGGAGAGCGGCAGGCAGCGGGGCAGGACGGGCCGGGAGCGGGGCGGGGCGCGGCGGGCCGGGCTGCAAGGCTGAGGGGCAGGTAGAGCCGGGGAGGGCTGTTCTGTGGGGCTGAAGGGCTTTGGGGGTGCGTGAGGGTGAATTTTGGGGGTGCGTGAGGGTGAATTTTGGGGCTGAAGGGCTTTGGGGGTGCATGAAGGTGAATTTTGGGGCTGAAGGGCTTTGGGGGTTCGTGAGGGTAAATTTTGGGGCTGAAGGGCTTTGGGGGTGCGTGAGGGTGAATTTTGGGCTGAAGGGCTTTGGGGGTGCGTGAGGGTGAATTTTGGGGCTGAAGGCCTTTGGGGTTCGTGAGGGTGAATTTGGGGCTGAAGGGCTTTGGGGGTGCGAGAGGGTGAATTTGGGGCTGAAGGGCTTTGGGGGTTCATGAGGGTGAATTTTGGGGCTGAAGAGCTTTGGGGGTACACGAGGTGGGCAGTTCTTGGGGTTGGTGGCCGGGGGTTCTGAGCATGCAGGTCCCATACTGGGGGGACACAGGCGGATTTGGGGCGTGGATCCGGGGTCTCACCTGTCCCCCTTGCACAGGGAGAGCCAGGTGGAGCTGCGGGAGCACATCGACAGCCTGGCCACAGGTGAGCCAAAGCCGGGGGGGTCCACCCCTGTCCCCCTCAGCGTCAGGGCACAGGGGGCTCACCCAAACCCCTCCCCAGAGCTTTGCCGCATCAACGAGGACCAGAAAGTGGCGCTGGACCTCGACCCCTACGTGAAGAAGCTGCTGAACGCCCGGCGCCGCGTGGTGCTGGTCAACAACATCCTGCAGAACGCCCAGGTGAGGGGGCGCAGCGGGGTGGGGGTCCCGGAGCCCCCCTCAGCTGCTCACAGGTGACTTTTGCCGCGTGCAGGAGCGGCTGCGGAGGCTGAACCACAGCGTGGCCAAGGAGACGGTGCGGAGGAGAGCCATGCTGGAGGCCGGGGGCTACCAGGGCAAGTGACCAGCCAGGAGAGCAGGTGACCAGCCAGGGGAGCAGGAATCCCTGTTTATCCCAGCTCAGGAATTGAGGGGATGTCCCCCATCACCTGCAGCTGAGGGACCCGGGACACTCCGAGCCGTGTTCCCGGATTTGTGGGCGCTGGAATAAAAGTGACTGAGAGTCCGTGATGTTCCCACGTCCCTGAGGGGCCTTGGGGACAACAGAGCCGGGCAGGTGCTGCCAGGGGGGTCTGGGCACCTCCAGGTTGGATTTGGACACCCCCAGTGGAATTTGGGAAGCCCAGGTGGGATTTGGGCTGCCTCAAGTGGGGTGTGGGCAGCCCCAGGTGGCTCCTTCAAGTCTTGGATCCTTCTGCTGCTGCCTCAGCTGCCTCATTCCCATCTATCCCACATGGACCTGAGCAAGCAGGACACGCTGGAAAAGGGGGACACTTTAATGTGCAACGTACAAAACGGGGACAGGGGACAGGGACACGTCAGGTGACAGAGCAGGGACCCCCAGGCCGGTGTCCCCTCACCTGCTGCAGGCAGCGCAGGTGTCACTCCTGCGTCTCCATGCTCTCCTCCTCCTCGCCCGCCGCCGGCTCCTCCTGGTTCTCCTCCTCCTCCTCCCCTTCCTTCTTCTCCGGAGGTTTCTCGTACGCCTTCTCCGACGGCGTCACGATCACCCCGTCCCACGTGGACATCTCGGAGGCCAGGTCTGCCCCAAGAGGTGACCCTGGGCGCCCGCTCGGGGGGACCCCAGCCCCGTCCCCACCCGGACACCCCCGCAGCCCCACTCACAGCTGGCGTCACCCTCCTGTCCCAGGATTTTCCGGTACCCTCCGTGGGACAGGATGCGCACGAGGGTCTGGGCGGTGTAGCACACCATGTCCTGGGGACAGGGACGGGTCAGTGTGGGGACAGGGACGCCCCCTGAGCCCCCTGGCCTTCGGGGACCCCTCCTCACCTGCTGCTCCAGCGTCATCACCGTGTGCACGCGGAAGTTGCCGCTCTCGCACGGATCCGTGATGCCGACGGAGCCGGGCAGGAAGAGCCCGGCCGCCAGGATCTGGAGGCAGCGCCTGCACAGAGATATTCTGGGTTAAAACTGGATCCTTCCAGCAAAAACACCACCAGGACATCCCAGCTGGAGGAGCTGGATTTGTCTCCCAGTCAGCCAGTGAGATTCCAATGGTTTTGCCAGGAAAACGGAGCCGCAACGGGAATTTCTGCACTGGGGATGCCACGGACCTGTAGGCGATGTTGAGGGCCAGGGGCTGCCGGGTGGGATTGTTCATCACGGCGTAGTGCCCCTGGAGAGGAAAGGAGCAGGAATTAGGGCAGGAAGAACAGAAGAATCCCAGCCTGGGGCAAGAATCCCAGCTCCTGCCGGGATCAGGATCGGCACCACAGCGGTGACCTCACCAGCAGGTCCAGGATCCAGGGCGTGAGCGGCTCGAAGCCGGGGAAGCGAATCCTCAGGTCCTTGAGCAGCCGGATCAGGACCTTCACCCTGGAGCAGAGGCAGGAGGAGGCTCAGTCCCACACCGGGACTGCGCTCCGTGTTCTCGGGAATGAGGATCTGGATCCAGAAGGAGGATCTGGATCCAGAACAAGGATTAGGATCCAAAAGGAGGATCTGGTTTCAGAATGAGGATCTGGATCCAGGAAGAGGATCTGGACCCAGAATGCCAGAATGAGGATCTGGACCCAGGATGAGGATCTGGATCCAGGAAGAGGATCTGGACGCAGAATGAGGATCTGGCCCCAGGAGGAGGATTTGGATCCAGAATGAGGATCTGGATTCAGAATGAGGATCTGGACCCAGAAGGATTTGGATCCAAAACAAGGATTTGGATCCAAAATGAGGATCTGGACTCAGAAGGGGGATTTGGATCCAGAACAAAGATTAGGCTCCAGGAGGAGGATTTGGATCCAGAACAAGGATTAGGATCCAGAATGAGAATCTGGACCTAGGAGGATTTGGATCCAGGAGTTGGATCTGCACCCAGAAGGAGGATTTGGATCCAGAACAAGGATTTGGATCCAGGAGGAGGATCTGGACCCAGAAGGAGGATCTGGACCCAGGAGGATTTGGATCCAGAACAAGGATTTGGATCCAGGAGTAGGATCTGGACCCAGAAGGAGGATTTGGATCCAGAACAAAGATTAGGATCCAGGAGGAGGATTTGGATCCAGAATGAGAATCTGGACCTAGGAGGATTTGGATCCAGGAGTAGGATCTGGACCCAGAAGGAGGATTTGGATCCAGAACAAGGATTTGGATCCAGGAGTTGGATCTGGACCCAGCCCTGGCTCCGCGGGCCCCGGACTCACGTGGACTGCGAGGCGTTCTCCTCGAACCACCGCGCGTGCCGGATGGCGGCCAGGGCGCTCTGCAGCACCTTGATGTCCACTGCAAGAAGCAGAAATTCCCGGTTTTCCCAGGCGGCCGCGGGCACCGCGGAGGCTCCGGGCGGGAGGCGCGGCCGGGCGCTCACGGTGCAGCTCCGGGTCCAGCTTGCGCAGGTTGGGCGGCACCGTGGTGATCAGGATCTTCACCGTGGCGTCGGCTGAGCTGATCTCGAAGCCGGTCTCGTTGGTCAGCATGGTCAGGACTGCAAGGAAAGAGCGGGAATTGCGCCCGGAGGGGCCGGGAATCTCCACGGGAACGCGGCCTGGAGCGCGGCCTCACCTTCGCTGGGGTCCTGCGCCCGCAGGCTCTCCACCACCTTGTTCCCCAAGGCTGCCACGGCTTCCACTGGGAAAAAGGAGAAGGAAAAGGAGGAGGAGAAGGGTCGGAGCGGGGCCTGGCTCCGAGGGTTGCTGTGATCCCGCCAGGGTGGCACTCACAGGTGGGCAGGATCTTCAGGATCACCACCAGATCCGCCACGTTGTGCCCCGTCGTCATCGTCCCCTTCTTGTAGGAGCCCACCTGGCGAACCTCCTCGATTTGCTGGTGGAAAAACAACCCAAAATCCCGGGAATTCAACCCACATGGTGCGTTTGGGGGCTCAGCACTGAGCCTCTACCCACTCTGGGTTCTTGTAGGAGCCCACCTGGCGAACCTCCTCGATTTGCTGGTGGAAAAACAACCCAAAATCCCAGGAATTCAACCCACATGCTCCATTGGGGGGCTCAGCACTGAGCCTTTACCCGCCCTAGGTTCTTTTAGGAGCCACCCTGGCAAACCTGGATTTGCTGGTGGAAAGACAACCCAAAATCCCGGGAATTCAACCCACATGGTGCGTTTGGGGGCTCAGCACTGAGCCTCTACCCACTCTGGGTTCTTGTAGGAGCCCACCTGGCGAACCTCCTCGATTTGCTGGTGGAAAAACAACCCAAAATCCCAGGAATTCAACCCACATGCTCCATTGGGGGGCTCAGCACTGAGCCTTTACCCGCCCTAGGTTCTTTTAGGAGCCACCCTGGCAAACCTGGATTTGCTGGTGGAAAGACAACCCAAAATCCCGGGAATTCAACCCACATGGTGCGTTTGGGGGCTCAGCACTGAGCCTTTACCCGCCCTAGGTTCTTTTAGGAGCCAACCTGGCAAACCTGGATTTGCTGGTGGAAAAACAACCCAAAATCCCGGGAATTCAACCCACATGCCGCGTTTGGGGGTTCAGCACTGAGCCTTTACCCACCCTAGGTTCTTTTAGGAGCCACCCTGGCAAACCTGGATTTGCTGGTGGAAAAACAACCCAAAATCCCAAGAATTCAACCCACATGCCACATCTGGGGGCTCACCATCGAGCCTTAACCCACCCTGGCCAGGAGCATCCTCCCATTTTCCAGTCCCAGCACTCTGGGCCTCGCCCAGCACCTCCCCACGGAGCTCTTTTCCCAAGCTCTGCACTCACCACCTCGAACGTCCCCGGTGCCACGATCAAATTATCGATGACGTTGTTGATCTTGGTCACCAGGGACAGGATGGAAGCCTGGGAAGGAACAGGATCACCCAGGAATAACCCCACTGCAGAGCACAGAATCCACATTATTCCCCACAGTGCTAATTCCAGAGAACTAACTAATTTTTCCACCCCTCCTGAAAAACTTTGGATTCCCCGAGCCCCATCTTGAGGATCTGGGGGAATTTTGGGCGCGGCACCTGCTCGGCAGCGGTGGGAGCCAGGTCCTGGTTCCTCTTGAGCAGCGCCTCGCTGAAGGCCGTCTCGTCTGCCGCGGGCTTGACGCGGGGAAAAGCCATCTCACACTGGAAGGGGACACAATTCCCACTGGGATTTCATCCTGCCGGCCTCCAGGAGCTGCAGGGGCGTCCAGCAGCTCCCACCTCCGGAGGTTTTGATGAAGTTTATTAAAGAATTTTTTTAATGAACTCATTAATCCCCCGTTGTCTGCAGCCACAGGGCCTTGGGGTGACCTGTCCACAGGGAATTTGGGAAAGGGGGATTTCCTGCTGGGAAAGGTGGGAAACAGGTACATGAAACACCTGAGGGAAGTAGGGGCATCGCCCTGAGGAGGGACACACACCTCACTCCAGGGATTTACCAGTCCCAATCCCAAAAACCCCAATCCCAAAATCCCCAATCCCAAAAATCCCAATCCCAAAAACCCCAATCCCGGAGCGATTTGTGCCATTATTCCTCGCCTGGATCCCATTATCCCGTTTACCCTCTAGCGTGGGTTTTTTACTGATCCACCAGCGTTTTTTAGGGAATTCATTCAATTCAGCCACACCACGAGAACCCAAACCCCGCAAATCAGAGCTGGGGGGAGGGGGGGGTATCGTTAAGCCTGGAAAAATCCCGGAAAATTCCCGGGAATCGCCCTCGGGGCGGGGGTTACTCACGACATAGAAATCGAAGGGGATGTGGGGCACAAAGGGCCGGAACCTACAGGGGAGAGAAAACCCCAATTCACTCCCTGGGCCCCCTCCCGCCCCTGTCGCGACATGCAGGGCCCGGCCCGGGCCTGCAGCAGCACCGGACCGGCGCCGGGACTCGCCTGGAACCGAAGCGGCCGCCGCGGCCGCGGCCTCGATCGCCCCTGCGGGGAGAGAACGGGAGCGGCGGTGACGGGGGGCTCCGACCCCCGCACCCCGATCCTGCCCCCCGGTGCTCCCCGGTGCCTCTCGGGGTCCCCCCATCCCCGGTTTCGGTGCTGGCCTCCCCCAGCCCCGGTTCCCCTTGGTTCTCCCCGCTCCCGCCGCTCTCTTCC